TATGTATGACTTCTTTGGACTTTTTGATTTAAAAAAATGGCCCATGGAGGTTATAGATGGTATTTGGCTTAAAACTTTTATACTCCAGAAAAGCGAAAGATCGTGCAAGCATTAAAATATCGCGCCCCCAAAGAAAGATACTACATAGATGTAGAAATATTTATATGTATACAGGGTGCCCTAGACCACCCCATCTAAAATGCAGACATTTTTTTTATTGAAAAATTCAAAAATATGGCCTACCAAATCGGGGATGCTCTATCTTCTGGTGGTATTAACGAGTGAAAATGTTTTTTTTTTTTGGAAATCAAAAAAATATGAATTATGAAGTCGTGAATGCTCTATTCTCGGGTTGTATTATCGACTTCCGGTTTCGACCGGAAGTGGGCTAAACAGATCTGAAGTCCATCCCAGAAAAAAGTTTGCGACAAAAGTAACGTATGTCCTTTAAAAAAAAAATGGACTTCCGGTTGGATTAACCACCTTCCAGTCGAAACCGGCAGTCGGTAATATGTACAACCAAAGGAGAGAGCATCCCCGACTTGGTAATTAATATATTTTTCGTTTTCCAATAAAAAACGTTTTCACTTATTTAAGAAGTTCTGGACAAGTCCAGAAAACCGTAAGTCGGTAATTGCACCACAAGATAGAGGTATCTCCAATTTGGTAGGTCATATTTTTTGCGTTATTCAATAAAAACATTTTCCTCTAGGATACTCTGTATATTTTTCAAACAAGAGCTAATTTGAAAAAGTACTCAAAATCTGCGATCCACACAAAAACAGCAGGGCTGTTCAGAATGTTGTGCAAATGGTCTTGGATTTGCAGTTGGAATTGCATTCGCAGATTTTATGCCTGCTGCCATGCGAAAATCACAACATCAGCAAAGTTAGAAGCAACAACGTTTTATCTAACACGGCCTTTACTGAATCCATCGTAAGTTCGTTTTTCATGAAATTTACGAAACTGCTATGAATGAATACGAATAGGTACGAACGTAAATTCGAAATTCGTTAGAGTGGCATTATTGAAACAGGTTGTAATGAATTTTCGTGCAGATTTTGTACGATAAATTTCTGACGTCTGTACAGAGTTTTGTTAAATCTTCGAAATATTGCATAAGAGCAGCAATAAGGATGATGATAAAAATTACTTACTTACTTATTACATACTTATCTGCAATTCATTATATTTTTTAAACACTTGCTAGTTATTAGGTAAAATTACAGATATTAAATTTGCATTAATTAATACGCACCCAAATTCTCAAAAATTCATTTTGTCTTTGTAAAACAAAATCGTGGCGTTAGGCATCTATTAAAAATTATTTTGCGCTCATTTACATTTCGCCATCATTAATGCAAAAGGCCCTAATTAACAATATGGACATTTTACAAAAGAAGCTAACAACTTTAAAATTTGTATAGCAAATATAGCTTTTCTAAATATGATCATAAATCTCGTATTGTTTAAGATTTTTGAAAAACGCTGTATGTGAGAGTCAGCTAACGGAACATTAAAACAAAAAAAAAACGTATTTTCGGAAAAGTCCCATTTAGGGCCTTTTGCATTGATGGTGATGATTTGCGTAATGAAATATTCATGTGTGTGAAAATCTACATTAAATTTATTTCTATGTTATTTGTTTATTTTTAGATAATGCGTACCAAGTATATTCGGAGACAAATTATTCGGTTTCAGTTTAAGAATTATTCGGAGGAAGCATTAATGGTCCCGCACTTACTGGTTAAGTTTGAATGGCTGAGCTATCGATTTGCCTATGGTGATTACAAATTAAAATTTAATAAGAAAAAATATCAAGAAAAAATCAAGAAATATATATTTAAATTTATACATTACATTGCTGCATTTGCAAATGTGGTACCGTACCGTACCGACGTTAATAAAGAAAGGGCATCGATAGCGATATTGATACTATGTAAAAGGCTGGTCGCGCTGACTTGATTTTATTTTGCTAACATAAAGGTTTGTCTTATGTTATGCGTAACATGATTATTTTGTACGTGAACAAAGTAAAATTTTAATAAACGTAATTGATGTAAATAGTGATTTTATGTTTGCGTTTTTTTTTTGTAGTGAAGTGCCTAAATCGAGTTCGGAGATGTTTGCGTTAAATATTTCACACCAAGTCATAAAATCTGTATCGTTCGTCCCATTTTAAAAAATGACGTGTCAAATGAAAGGGCTTTTTACCTGTAGATGTGCAATATGTACGTTTTTTAAAATGTTGCCATATAAATACGGTGACCATAAATATGGATTCAAAATGAAGGAAAATTTTTTAAAAATATGCCTACATATACTTACGTAGTATAAAAATATCAAAAGAGTATTTATGATTCTAAATTCGTAATACATTTTAAACTTAAAAAAACGAACAACGTTTTCTTCATCGATATTAATTTTTTTTTACATTAATATTTATAAAAGTATAGTAAAACATATTATAATTACAATAGCTTACACGAAAAGTGAAAATCTTTAAAAGATTATTTTATATGCAAATTTTGAGTCGTTCAAAACGAAAACAATAACTTTTTTTTTTGTTTTTTGGTACTTTTCGCAGTAATTTGTCAAAAATCGACGTAAACGACGAGTTACAAAGGTATTTATGTGCCCTTTTCAAAAATATATAATTTGTGCAGATTGCGCTTCATAGCATCTACATTTCTAATCCGATTTTCATTATCTTTGGATCAAAAGTTTACTGTAATGATATATCTTATTTATCGAATTTTTAAACTAATAAAAAAAAAATATCAAATAAAGCTGCGTATTTGATTGAAACTCTCACTTTTTTCGACTTTGACGACAAAATGCAAATGGTCGCCTGTAGCACTAATAATTTTCATTGAAGTCGCCACAAGTTATATATGTATTTTGGTAGGAGGCACATCAATACCCTTCGAGCTGTAAGTCGCTTACGTAGATTGGGAGATTTTTTCATGAGATATTGAAGAAAAGCTACGAAAAGTACCAAAAACACATTTTTGAAAAAATCCATCCATTGTCCGATAATTTTAAAATAACGAATAAAATGCGGGACAAATGCAGGACACTTGGAAAAAATCAGTACATTTTCAGGTTTTTTAGGTTTGAAAAACTACGCAGGACCGGCCTTTGAAAAACAGTACGGTCCTGCAAAAAACAGAACGGATGGTTACCGTACATATACAGGAAAATCAAATTCAAATTATTTACATATTAAGTTAAATGAATTATTCCAATATGGGTATCAAAAGAAATGGTTTTTAATAAACTGTATTTTTTAGCTACATATAGGAGGGTTGCCACCTGTTGGAATAGTTGTATTTAATTAAATTATACAGAAGTCTTATGCATTAAATACTGTACAGTAAGCGTGAATAGAAAGCAATTTAAGTAACACAACAATTAAAATATTTTTGAGGTGCTTGAAGAGGGTGGCCACCTGTTTAAAAAGTTAAACTCAAATTATTTGAGCGAATCTTATTATTACAGCTCCGACATGTTTGCGATAAATATCACTGGATCACAAATTTTAATTTGGTTTTTGTTCTCCAGAAACAATTAGAGAATTGGTTCTCTCAAAAACCAATTTAACAAACTGAAAATGGAATACGACAAATGAAAGCTAACAAAATTTTCCATAAATCGTCTATGCGTCACTTTCCGATAGGACTGATAGTTTCTCACAAATTAATTAATCATTTCCGGTTTTTTTTTTGACAGGAGAAAAATTAAAAAACTAACAGGTTCTGTGTAAAATTTTTGCCTTTGTGCTAAAGCCTGTTCTGTTACAAAAACAAATCAAGTTACTAATGAAGCAAATCGATGGATAAATAAAGAAGTAATGAGTGGTCAAATGAAAATGCACAAAGACTTTTTGTATCAGAAATGAGCAGAAAATAATGTTACTCATACGTCATGTACACCTAAGTAGCACGTATTTCTGCTCATATTTCATACAAAAAAAGTTTAGGCACTTTCATTTGACCACACAATTCTTTATTTATCTATCGATTTTCCTCATTAGTAACTTGATTTTTTTTTTTGTAACAGAACCGGCTTTAGCACAAAGGCGAAAATTTGACACAGAATCTGTTATTTTTTAAATTTTTCTTCTGTTAGCGTGTTTTTCTTTCATATTTTCATTAAAAAAACAACAAATCTGGAATGATTAATTAATTTGTCAGAAACTATCAAACCTATCGAAAAGTGATGTATATACGGTGTGTGTAGAATTTTGTTAGCTTCCATTTGTCGTATTTCATATTGTTAAATTGGTTCGTAAGATATACGTGATTAAGTGTAACCACTGTTTTTGTTTAAAGCTGAATAACGGTAAATTGAAAATATCTTGTAAACTTATCCATAGAATAGAAAATTTAGTCGATTTTCGGAATCAGCCAGCAATTCTTTATAGGAATTAGATAGTGGCATCCATTGAACGTTTTTGCTGTAAATCAGTGTATTTAACGCCACGGTAAAGGTATGGCGGGGACAGAAAAAGAAAGGGGGCCATCATACATGTGCATTAAAGTGGTCCAAAAACGTATGTGAAAAAATAAGGTCGGAGTTTTAATGCCGCCACCCCCTTGGGTTGTTCTATACCGAAAGAAAATATACCCCTATTTTTTTTATTTTGAAATAAAAAAATTTAGGGAGTGCTCAAAGCGCTCAAAGTTTTCCATGTATTTTATATGAGGAAAAAACAACTTTTCGTAGAAATAGTGTAGAATTATGGAAAATCAATCCTTTTCGATCGAAAAACTTTACTTATCTTCAGAAGATTCCCAGTAATAATACCCAATTGTTTCTTTAACCATTTTTTTATGGTAACTATATTTTATAGGTCCTCCTAAACCCCCAGAAAATGCAATGGAGGGACCAATAAAAAATCTTTAATATTAAAAGATGGTGAAATAAACAATTGGATATTAATATTGGTCTGCAGTTTTTTAGCCCATTCAATTTTAGTATAACAAAGTGCAAGTTTTTGGTGGCTAGGACTTACCATTGATTTTTAGGAATTTTTTTTGTTGAAGGTGTCGCTCATTTTCTCCATATAAAATAATGTTTGATAATTTTTTTATATGGAAAAAATGTGCGACACCTTCAACAAAAAAATTTCCCAAAAATCAATGGTAAGTCCTAGCTTCCTCATACTTGCACTTTATTATACTAAAATTGAATGGGCTAAAAAACTGCATACTCAAATTTTTTCTAGAGAGCGTAAATAAAAAGTGCAATATTTGATTGAAATTTTGCAGAATTTTCTTTAATTTTCCACAAAGTTTGGACTTTTCTTTTTGGGGTTTTTGTTGTAGAATCAACCATATTTTTATAAAAAATTTGCGAAAAATAAAATATTTAAAGAATATTTGCCCGTATTGTAAAAAATTCGCTGTACCTAAACTTTATTGACTGACTGTATATTTTACTTCATCTTTTCAAATATTCAAATATTTTCGGGAAGCGAAGAGGACTGGGACAAACTTTGTACATATGTGCTATGTATATTATGAGTATAGCTTTAAGAGGAACTAATATGTATAATTTATTTATCTTTTTTGAGTTTTCCCAGATTGTAGATTACTCCCATAAATCATGTATGGAACCAAGGATTATCAAAGTTGACATCTATTGCAGGCAATTTGATAGTTTGACAGCTGGTGGTAACAACGATGAAATTTTGATTTTAAATCAAAATAAGAAGCTGTTCCCTATTGGACTATTTATGATAACCTTTTAGGTAGTTATTAAGCTAGTTTTTTTTAAGATATTAAAATTTTTAAACACTGAAATTGAGAGAATGTGGTCTGCTGGCATCATGTGGCACATGCTTACATCAATACATCAAAGTGCCCACACACAAAAATTTGCAATCATGTTGCTCGTTAAAATGACAGCTGGTAGGCCATCGGCTTACGCACGTATTATTTGCAAGTAACAATTTGCAAAATGGTAAACTTTGCCGTATAAACGCAGAGTTAATTTTTTATTTGCAAATAACTAAATCACGCAAATAAGTATTGATTAGTGGTACTATTTGCAAATAAGCGCAAGACGCCGCCATTCTTAGGTTTACTTTCTTTTTCGATGGTCATCTTATTGCCTTTTTTTTAAACGTCAGATCGAAGAACAAGGAGGAAAGGGATTCATCTTTTCTACAACATAGTTTCATCTCGCGCTGCTCAAAGAGACTTTTTGATAGCCAAAATTTGTTTAATGTGAGTGCAGGAGTTGATATGGTATCGATGGGAATCGTTATCCTCCTACTATCTCTATGTAGGAGTACATATTTACTTTTTAGGTACATCAACCTACTTTTAGGTAAAGTTTTCCGCAAATAAGGTACAATTTTATAATTAAATTTACCATCCCTGATGGAATATCAGCTGTAAAAGAGGACCAGAAACAAACAGCTGATTGCTCTTTCTTCAATAAACATACCTCCAAGCAATAGGAGCGTTCCTTATCTCCCAGAAATAGTCAGAAAAAGTCCGAAGTAGTCAGATTTAGTCCAAAAAGCGTTCCTTAACTCGGAAATGACAGCAAAAATGAGAGAGCAACAGTCAGTGAGAGTGACTCTCATCAGTCCGAAGTAGTCAGATTTAGTCAGAAGAATTTTTTCTGGCAAAATCCTGAAAAGTGTCAAACTCAACTGAATTTAAATTAACGGAAATTAAAGAATACGCTAAAAGTGAGAATAATTTAAAAAGTAAAAGAAATGAATTGAAATTGGAAGGAGGCAAAAAATAATTGATATAGCAAGTGTTTATTGTGCTTGTGCTTGTGTGAATGTGTTTTGTACATACATTTCTGTTCTCATTTGACGTTAGTTTTGTTGTTGCCATTCTTTGGACTAAAAATTTGGTTTTTTGCGTTCCTTTACTTTTCCTGTTATTCTCTTTTAGTGAGCGCATTTTGCTTACGCTCTGGCATTTTGACACTTTTCAGATTTTAGTCCAAAAAGATAAGGAATGAACCTAATATGTATTCAACAAAGTGTGATTAATTTTGTCATCGCTCTCAAAAGAAACAGGCTATAATGTCAAATTGAAATGAATTGTTAACCGGCACCCTGAAATTGTGCATATGGAAACTGTGCATACGAAATAATGCATATGAAAAAAACCGAAATAATGCATACGAAAAAAACCGAAATAATGCATATATGCACAGTTTCGGTTGAAAACCGCAATAATGCATATTAGAAAAACCGAAATTATGCATATGCACTCTTTCGTTTGAAAACCGAAATAACGCATATGAGAAAAACGAAGTAATGCATACATGCACAGTTTCGGTTCGAAACCGAAATAATGCATATGACAAAAACCGAATTAATGCATACATGCACAGTTTCGACTCAAAACCGAAGTAATGCATATGACAAAAACCGAAATAGTGCATACATGAAAACGAACTTCTTTCTGAGTAGGCGGCCTTCGGCCGCGCTTAGGGATTATAACCCTTACTAAGTAGAATTCTCCTTTCTGTGTTGCCGGAAAAGGGGGCCGGAAGTACTTTTGCGCAGAACTTCTTTCTGCGTAGGCGGCCTTCGGCCGCGCTTAGGGATTATAACCCTTACTAAGTAGAATTCTCCTTTCTGTGTTGCCGGAAAAGGGGACCGGAAGTATTTTTGCGCAGAACTTCTTTCTGCGTAGGCGCCCTTCGGCCGCGCTTAGGGATTATAACCCTTACTAAGTAGAATTCTCCTTTCTGTGTTGCCGCAAAAGGGGACCGGAAGTATTTTTGCGCAGAACTTCTTTCTGCGTAGGCGGCCTTCGGCCGCACTTAAGGATTATAACCCTTACTAAGTAGAATTCTCATTTCTGTGTTGCCGGAAAAGGGGGCCGGAAGTACTTTTGCGCAGAACTTCTTTCTGCGTAGGCGGCCTTCGGCCGCGGTTAGGGATTATAACCCTTACTAAGTAGAATTCTCCTTTCTGTATTGCCGGAAAAGAAGGGCGGACGTATTTTTGCGCAGAACTTTTCTCTGCGTAGGCGGCTTTCAGCCGCGCTTAGGGATTAAAACCCTTACTAAGTAGAAGTAAATAATTCATATTAGAAAAAACGAAATTATCCATATGCACACTTCCGTTAGAAAACCGAAATAATGCATATAACAAAAACCGAGATAATGCATGCATGCACAATTTCAGTTCAAAACCGAAATTATGCATATGGCTAAAACCGAAATAAAGCATACATGCACAGTTTCGGATGAAAACCGAAATAATGCATATGTGAAAGACGAAGGTATGCATACATGCACAGGTTCGGTTGAAAACCGAAATAATGCATATAACAAAAACCGAAATAATGCATGCATGCACAGTATCGGTTGAAAACCGAAATAATGCATATGAAAAACCCAAAGTAATGCATACATGCACAGTTTCTGTTGAAAACCGAAATAATGCATATGAGAAAATACCGAAATTATGCATATGCATACTTTCGTTTTAAAAGCGAAATAATGCATATGAAAAAAAAACGAAGTAATGCATACATGCACAGTTTCGGTTTAAAACCGAAATAATGCATATGGTAAAAACCGAAATAAAGCATACATGCACAGTTTCGGTTGAAACCGAAATAATGTCTAAATGCACAGTTTCCATATGCGCAATTTCGGTGCCCCTTGTTAACCCATTTGAAAATATTTTTTTTCAAATTTGAATTTGTTTAAAAAAAAAATACACAAAAATTTTTCGAGCAACAAATGTTCTTAATAAACGTGAAATTGTTTAGAGATAAACCGCCGAAGAGAGCAGGTAAGCACATTTAAAGTTTGGTAATAAGTAAATATGTTCGTTCGACTTTGCTTAAATATTTAATGTAAGGAAACCAAGATGAAACGGAGCAAAACTTTTGAACGGTGCGCTGTATGCAATAGAAGACAGGACACGAAAATAGAGCAATGTTTTAAACCACCTAGTTGCGAGTTAAGACGGCAGCGATGTGGTGTTGTACTACGTGATTCATCTCGCGTTTGTGAAAACCACTTGAAGGAAAGTGATTTCATTTGTTGTCCGTCCGAGTCAAGCACTTGCAAATGAGCTCGTTTATACCCAAACTATTTCGCATGAAAAAAATTTAATTTCTAAATTGTTAGAGTTAAGCTCTCATATGAGCTCTCATATAAAATTGGAAACAAATGTAAAATCATACTTTTATAAGTGTCGAATAATGTTTAGGATAAAAAATGTAAATATAAAAATAAACGCACAAAAGCATAAAACTTGGGCAATTAAAAACAAGAAAATTGCTAAAACGATTTTATAAACAATTTGTTTTATCTATTGACAAAATATATATATTCCAGATAATGTAGGTAAAACAAAACTATATAATCAAAATAAAAGCCTTGGGTATCAGGGCTGACAGTGTTAATTCGTTTGTTTATACTTTTTGACATTATAGTACCTTAAAAGAGAGCCGCACTAAGTTGTCAATCACACCTTGTTTAATACACCTTGCCTCCAAGTCAAAATTAAACATACTGGCAGGGTTGCATAGAGAATCTGACACAATTTGAATTTTTGTATGATAACTTGGGTAAGAATTAAGGCTTAAATTGGCGAAAAGGTTATTAATAGCCAATTAGGTGCCTGTTTGAACATAGTCTAAGAATGTTAGTTTTTTGGCAAATTATAATTATTTTATGTGAACATAGCATAAGTACCCTGACGGATGTTTGTCTAGCGTGCCACCCTGTGCATGGGATTTTTTTCGTTAAAATGAGACACATCCTTCGTTCAATTGATCAGTGTGGCCATATAAACCCTTTTCAGGCCAGATGTAGATTTTAACCCACGAATTTAGGTCTATTTTCGTGGCTTCTTTCTAATTTTCATTTTTTTATTTAAGTGTTTGAACCAAAATGGCCTTAAAAAATATTTAATACGAAACAAATTTTTTACTGCTGATGTTGTAAGCAATTATATTTATTTAGCGTAGTACATATGTATATCATTTTCTGTATAAATATTCCCAAAATTTGGGAGCTTTTCTTATCCTGAACTTGTATGGTTCGAAGTTGTCACCCGTTATTCACCTGATGAGAAGTTATTTTGTATTTTGGTAAGGTACCCGTTTTTGCGGAATGCGTCGAGCTGGTGAAGATGTTTTAGGTATGAGCACACGCGTTTTTAATTTCATTTTTTTACAGGGTGTAACTTTATCAGACCATTTGCAAAATCAATTTAGCTTCGATTTTTGGAGCGATCTGGTCACACTATTCATGATAGGTGTTGGCCGAATTGTCAAATTTGCTGCGAAAACAGTGGCAGCGACAGCGGCAGCAGCTTTTGGTTATTACCGCTCACTCCTCCAGGAAGTAGTAAAATTAAAGCAGTGTAGTTGTGCTCCGAGTTGATTGAATGTGAAAATATATTGCACCAGGAATTTTGAAAAATTAAAGTTAGTGTGATGATTTAGTATATAAATATACACATCTATGTTTGAAAAAGTTCCGAGGTTTTAAATACTTTAAATAGGGATTTGACTTGCATAAAGAGTTGGGAAAGTGTAAGGAAAAAATTACATGGAAAAATTAGTAATATGCTTAGTGTTAATGAAAGAAGAAGCACCCCATAGTGTGGAGTAAATGCTCCATATTAAAGGGAGCAGCGCAACGAGCTACAGATCCGACAAAAAAATATCTAAAATTGATTTTTCTTTTCTCAATCTTTTCTTCTCTTTTCCACATTTGCTTTTGTTGGTCTGGATTTCTAATTGGTGTGAATGCGACAACTATTTGGTGATTTGCTCGTTGAATTTTCGTTAAATTCGCTCCTCTATTGCTGCAACGGCACAACTACTATCGTATTTGATGCTCGTATGTCCGTCTTGTTCGACAACTACGTACATCGCTGCTTCTGCTGTCGCAGTCGCTGCCTTCGTTCTCCATCAAGTCTCGCTATTGGTGGTGCGAATTATAAGCGATTTTGGTGTACCAAAAAAGTAGAGCCAAGTAGAAGAGAACGGAACGGCAAAGAAAAACTTTTTAATTCATCGGTAGATTAAAAACAGTTAAAAAATTGTAAAAGTGAATTCAATTTTTAAAGGACATTTTTTTGTAAATGCGTTGATTACTAGGCAACAAATTGGATTGTGCTCCACATAGATATTTCGGTGGAGTAGTGAAAAGAAAAAAATTGGAAATATACATATACATACAGCAGCAAAAATAAGCGAACGTAGAGGAACGCAAAGTATTTGGACATCACCGAAAAAATCCCAGTTTTTTAGAACTCTTTTTTTTCCAAAAAAAACATACTTAAATAGTGTACGCACAAATCTTTGTTAAAACAAAATTGATTGCGATCACTTCAAGTAGCCAGCCTATAAACAGAGGACAAAAAACCGCACCCTTAATTCACCCTTTTAACATCGTCAGAAAATCTATAGGTATACATTTTGACAAAAATATATGCACATATATAAAGAATATTATCGTATGCTAGCTCATGATACAAAAAATAAGGTAATTTCAATAAACAGCTCTGATTAAAAACCCGATTTTTGACAGTTGCTCAATTGTGAAACATTCGCAATGGCGTAACCCAATTTAAGTTTGGGATTATCTACAAAATAATTATATTTTCATCTATATTTTAAAAACGTTTAGTATCTTATTCCAGAGGCCGTTAACTTTTCTATTTAAAGTAGAAATAGACTTAAGTAAAGTTTAACTATTTTTTTCCTGTACTGTAACAGATGAGTTACCGGCCTTAAAAATATTTAAATGTTACATTAAATTAAATAACCACGCCCCAAACCTTTTTTTTTTAGATTAATAAAATTCTATTGTACTTATTTTCAATGTTTTTAATGTCTTTAATGCCATCTGATTATTTCTTAATGTTGCCAGGACTATTGGAATTTCCTATATCGACACGATTATTTACTATTGGGAGTGACTACCTACACGTAAAATTACCGTAGATCCACGGTAAAAATTCCGCCGAAAGAATTTCTGTCCCATTTCTCCGGCAACACAGAAAGGAGAATTCTGAGTAGTAAGGGTTATAATCCCTAAGCGCGGCCGAAGGCCGCCTACGCAGTAAGAAGTTCTGCCCCCTGTCTTCGGCAACACAAAGGAGAATTCTGAGTAGCAAGGGTTATAATCCATAAGCGCGGCCGAAGGCCGCCTTCGCAGAAAGAAGTCCCACCAAGATGTCCCACTTCTCCGGTAACACAGAAAGGAGAATTCTAGTAGTAAGGGTTATAATCCCTAAGCGCGGCCCTTGGCCGCCTACACATAAAGTAGTTCTTTCTGCCCCACTTCTCCGGCAAAATAATCCACGTAATTTTACCGTGGATCTACGGTAAAAATTACCGTGGCGCGTGTGTGTAGACTCTGCCTTTACTATTTCTTGACATAAGCTTCTATAGAATATCTGTCAAAAAAGCCGCAACTAACTTTAGAGTAGACCTTATTTCGACTATAAATATGCCCCAGTTTTTGGGGAATGATGCTAAATGCTATAATAACAGTTCTTGGCCAAATACGATTTACCCATGTCTTTTAAGTAACTTGAAATTTACTTTTGATACCCATGGTATACATGACATTTCAAAAAGTGAGTATTATCCATTTCCGGTACGTGTATACAAAATTAAATTGCCTACATACCTATATTTTTACTGTTCTGTATTGAAGGAGGTGTGAAACAGAATTGATAATTTATTGTTAGTATGCAAACTAGAACTACAATTATCAGCTTATTGACTTAAAGTGGTATTAGAGCATTAGCCTTCATCTAAGAAACAAATGTTTGTAAATAAACATATAATTAATATTAGATGGATAGATAATATAAATATAAAAATTTGGCGGATTTTAGTTGGTTATATAGCGATGAAAAAGTGACAAAGGCACGTACCTTATTTTCTGTATCATGCACTAGCCTTTAAAACATAAATTAAATTGATATTCAATTTTGCATATGTTTAGGAGCTTCGAGAAATAAAAAAGTAAACAAAATTTTACAACAGTAAGGTTGACAGCACGACCATCGAAATGAATGAATTAGATAGCCTAAGACAAGAAGCTGAATCTCTTAAAAATGCCATACGTGATGCACGCAAGGCTGCATGTGACACAAGTTTAGTGCAAGCCGCTGCTTCGCTGGAACCTATAGGCCGCATTCAAATGCGAACACGTCGAACTCTGCGAGGTCATTTGGCAAAAATCTATGCAATGCATTGGGGCAGCGACTCGAGGAATTTGGTGTCTGCATCACAGGATGGAAAATTGATCGTATGGGACTCACACACCACCAACAAGGTGCACGCCATACCATTGCGGTCCTCATGGGTGATGACGTGCGCATATGCGCCTTCGGGTAGCTATGTAGCCTGTGGAGGCCTTGACAACATGTGTTCAATCTACAATTTGAAAACTCGCGAGGGCAATGTGCGCGTCTCGCGTGAGCTGCCTGGCCACGGTGGCTATCTGTCTTGCTGTCGCTTCCTGGATGACAATCAGATTGTTACCAGCTCTGGCGATATGACTTGTGGTCTCTGGGATATTGAGACTGGCCAACAGGTAACCTCCTTCTTGGGCCACACTGGAGACGTAATGGCGTTATCGTTGGCGCCAGGGTGCAAAACATTTGTGTCAGGTGCTTGTGATGCCTCAGCCAAGTTATGGGATATTCGTGAAGGTGTTTGTAAACAAACTTTTCCCGGTCACGAGTCTGACATCAATGCGGTGACTTTCTTCCCGAACGGCCAAGCATTTGCAACAGGTTCTGATGATGCCACATGCCGCCTTTTCGATATTCGCGCCGATCAGGAACTGGCCATGTATTCGCACGACAACATTATCTGCGGTATTACGTCAGTCGCGTTTTCAAAGAGCGGACGTTTGCTTCTTGCCGGTTACGACGACTTCAATTGCAATGTCTGGGATACAATGAAAGCAGAACGGTCCGGTATTTTAGCTGGCCATGATAATCGCGTCTCATGCCTAGGGGTGACCGAAAATGGAATGGCCGTCGCAACGGGCTCATGGGATTCATTTTTGCGTGTGTGGAATTAAAGTGTTGGCGACTGTGCGTTTCCAAGCCATAAGTGGATGAGATGCGGATATAAGTGTGGAAGGAGTGGGCTATGGAGTAGTGTAAAATAAATATTTAGTTACGAAATAAAGGCAAGCACTTTCCCAACTCACCAAGAGTTCAAACAACCAGAACCATTATCATGCGGCCACTTTCCACGCTCCTAGACCTCATTATCCTCCATTTTGCGGCAGTAAATTTAGATTTTTACATACATATAATACACAAAATCCAACTAGTAAACACGCATACACAACAATATAACACTCGAACAATCGAACACCCGGGAAAAGGGGCAACGGACACTGGACGGATAAGACGGAAGCATATGCTGACACACATAAACGATTTATATACAAGCTTACATTAAACAAATTATTTATATAAAATATATACATAAAAACATATAAGTTAAAAGTAAATTCAAACTGAAAAAACCAGACGCATAAAAATAAAAATAAAAACCAAAAACAGCAAAGTGAAAAAATAAAGCCACTAAGAAAAATTATGCAAGAAAAAAATATGATTAGAAGTAAAAGAATGCTGAGGCATAGAGAGGAAGCACAGCACAAAAATCATCAAAAAAGCGAAGTCTTTAACAAAGTTTAAGTCGCAGCGAAATCTGTTGAAAACGCATTTACAAAACCACAGCAAGAAATTGAAACCGAAATGATCAAGCAAAAAGGGTTATAGAAATAAAATCTAAAACATAAGGAGCAAAGAAAATATGAAAAGAAACCCAATAAGATTTATAAATTTTTCTTATTAATTTTAAGCCCTAATTTATATACAACTCAAAATTATAAAATTATTCAAAGAAAATTAAAAAGTAAACGAATAAATTTTATATATGGCCATATAAGCTAGCAGCAGCAATAGCAAAAATCATAAATACATAATACAAAAAATAAAAATAAATAAAAGGATAGGATGAGAAACTAAACTTAATGATTCGTAAAATAATTTATAAAGTAAATTATTCAAAAGATAACATTAGCAGCGGCATCAGCAGTAGAAATATCACAATGATCACCCCGCTAGCAAAACAAAAAACATGCAAAAGTCGCGATAGTTGGTGCATATGATAAATCTGATTTCGAATTATGTACAAAAGGCATAACGGCAGAAAAAGGAAGAAATGCACAATTTCATTTGGTACATAGAAAACAGTTACTTGTAAACAGAGATTGAACATATATTCGTAAAGGTATCGCTTGCATAACGAGGAATGTTTATTCAAATATACACATACATATGTATGTATATCGCGTAGAGGCAGGTGCGAAATTCTATACAGATACGATTCTTGGTGCGGAAACATCATGAGTTTTATTGAAGCCGAAGCAGGAGGGTAATACAAATGCTTGGACACATTAATATGACTCATTTTTAGTCTTTTGGACTTGCTGTGATTTGTAAATGTAAACGCTTGCAGAAACGGCAAAAGATTGTTAAAAAAGGATGTAGTACATAAAGCATGCGAAATCGAATTGACAAATAACACTTCATGGTTGCATGTACATACATACGTAGATACCGAAACATTTCCATACCACTAGATGAAAGTTATGAACACAAATTTAACTATCCATCGATAAAATGTATGCCCAATGATGATTTTTCCAAATTTTTTCCCAGTATACGTGCCGACATAATTTGTTGTTGATATCCAACGTCGCTCTATTGAACAATTAACAAGTTTCTGTATTTGGTGCAATCCCCATTGCTTTTTACACCTTTACAATGCAATAATCACTTAGATATCTTTGGCATAGATAACTTATTTCGCACAAGGCAAAGCCTACAGTCGCTTCTGCAACCAACAAAAAAGGGTACAGTGATCACATTCACCCCAGATTGTCATAAGATTTGTCCTAAAAATGTATTTGTGATTTTCGTTCATTGGCCAATGCGACTTGATTTCGATTAGATCCATAATGTTTGGTCTGAGCTCCACCTCTTTATACTTCAGTTCTTAAGCACAACTAAATATTATATGTAGAAAACATGTACAAACTCTGTGGCATGAAGCAAATACTTTAAATTATTTTTGTATCCATAACACCTACAAGATTTGCAAACGCACACGTAACATTATAAAATGTCAAAAATATACAACAAAAACGCACACTTTCAATTTTATGCTATCTGTTACTAATTAATTAAGAAAAAAAAAATTATGATTTTTAACCGGTTGCATTGCAAGTTATTTTATATTTTATGGTATACATACATTTCGCCGGTGGAGTATACTTATATAAAACTAATTATGTAATAAAATTGACTTACAATATTTGTTTAATGTATACATGATAAAATAATGTTTATGAATATTGAATAATGTAATGTCTTTGTGGATCAAATCAAGCATGCATACTTGCAAATGCGCACAGAATTGTTGACGATAACAAAATCCATACCTGCAACTGAAAGCATAAAGTTATAAAATGCATAATTATATTTTATACAAGCAGATTTTTGCATTCTTGTAATAGTTGAGGTGAATCACCAACTGGTTACATACTACATGTATTTTATTGTTTTCTCATTTTATATTTTAAACTTATACTGTATTAAATTGAGCTTTAAACAATTATAAATGTATTTATTTTTCGTTTTTTGTGCTTTAGAAATTCGAGCACTATAACAGTAAGGTAAAAAATGAGCAAAAATTAACCGAAGAACGACTAGCTGCATTTAGTGTAACATTTTGCATTGCGTTTCGTGTTCCTACGGGAGCTTTGAAGATTAATGGTTTTAAGTTTTAATTTCCCCTCCTCTCACTTTGGCACAGCTGTACCTTTTTAATGCCACAAACCTGCCGTGGGCTTAACCTTTGAATTTCTATATTTCTCACTTTACTGGTATTCTTCCGGTGTTACACATTTCGAATCTTATGAAAACACAAAAAATATACATATATATACATACATATAAAAATGTATATCAAAAGTTTGACATAAGCTTTTCTTGAGTTAAAATTATTTAACTTTTTGAATCATTATTCATACTAACCCCTTTCCCCTTTATAAGTTCACTTTTTATAGCCGCACCTTTCCTACAACAAATAAATTTTTAACCAGAAGAATGAACTTTATATTTCATTTTGTATGTATTAAAATGAAAGCCATACGCATAATACGTGAATCCTCTGTGGAGAAAAGTTACATATATTTTTAGTTCAGAAAAGTATAAGATACGCAATTGTGTTTAGAAGCCAAAATTAAATGTAAAAACAGCTGAACAAAAATTACCTAAATATAAATAAAGAATGATACCAGAATAAGGGATCGCTCGATGTAACGTAAATGAAATAAAATTTAAAACATCTCAACTCATATTTAAATCTGTAATTATAATTAAAATAAACTGAAATTTAAATAAAAAATACATTTGCTTAGTTAGTGTAAACAAAAAATAATTGTATTTCGGGTTGGGTACTACGAACCGGTGAGTGCGGTGGTTCGTATCTCTTATCGAAATGATAGTAGTCGCCTCCCGGTAAGCAATGACGGAAGCATCGAATGCAGTTCGGTAGAAACTACCTTGTGCTCAGAAATGCATGAAGCCAAAGCATCAGTCTCTTATTTGTAAGCTAAAATTGATGGAAAATGTTCAATATGCACAACGACGGTGAAATGCCGAATTGGAACGTAGTTGCGAAATTAAGGCATTTCCATGAATTATAGTTTAGAAATATCTGATGCCTTTCCTTGATGAATTTATGAACACAGCCAAATAATCTGCAAGTAAAAAATATAGGATCCTCGATTTTCGAACAAGTTGTCGGGCAGAACATGGTATTGGGCCGAAAACCAGTTTTAGCAACGAAAACATGTTTTCGATGGCGGTCAGAACATAGTACAAGCCTGTACTGCAGCTAAACTATTTTTAACATATCAGGCCGATTCTGAACAGAAACACCCCGGGAGTGTTTCTCTTTTCCCTTTCCTCCTATTATGAATGAAAATTCTTTGGGAATTTTTTATTTTAAATGGTGGAGTTGAGCTGTCAAAAAAGGGTCAAACAACTCTTTCGAAGCTCGAATTTCCTACTCCCAAAAATTTCGGGGAAAACGCTACTCCTTGGGAGTTAATTATTGGAGGTTTTCTTTTCCGGGAGAAACAAATTCCCAGAGAACAAACTCCCCGGGAGTATTCAGAATTGGGCTGTATAATTCATAGAATCAAGAACAACAAATTTAGTACACTTTATATTCACATTTAGAGCTCAAAAAGCGCCTTAGATAACTAAATAGAATCAACATTTCATTTGTTGAAAAGCATCAACAGGAAAATCTATATTTTCATTACCTAATTATGTAATTTTTGTTAAAACAATTTTTAGTTAGATCGTTTTTTAATGAACTTGTACTTTGTTGTACTTTTAAAATTTCAAGTGGATATTAATTTTAAAGCAGGTTTTTAAAAGATCGCTCGATGACCCAATATAATCATATCATCGTTTTTGGGTTTTGGGGCACATATTCTCTCGAAAATAATGAACCCAGCCAAGGTACATTGAACAGGTAGTATCAGTAGAGCAGCTCATTTGATTTATTTTCAAATTATTTGGTCTCGAAAATGTCAAATATTTTTAATTTTTTCACGAAAATTATAAGTTGTTAAAATCCATTTGCTTGTGAAACCTTTTTCCATACAAAACAAGCGATTGAATAGCAGCTTTTGGAACGTTCGCCCAACTCAGCAGCACGACCGCTGATTACTGGGCCTTGCAAAGGATGGATCAATGCTTCGAGAAGCAAACAAATTTACTAGGAAAGAAAGTTGCATCAATTTTAATTTTTTCCAATTTCAATTTTTTATTTTTTATAATTTTTTGTATTTCACATGGCACGCTTTGATTTAGAAGAAAAAATTCAGAACAGTTGTTGACACTTTCGATACCAGAAGCAACAACAAAATACACGCAAATGTTGTTTTTGCTCTACTGATACTACCTGTTTAATGTGCCTTGAACCCAGCCTTGCTAAATATTCGTTCCGAATCAGTGGATGTAGATGGTATTGGAAAATACCGCATTGCGCATGTTATTAATTCCTATATATTATTAGGAGTTTACTCGTATGCCCAACTATCTAAAGTTTTAGAAAATTTTTACTGGTTTGGCGTTCTCGTACCTAAAAAACTTGCAAAGTAGGGGAAATTGAGAGAGAAAAATGTGAAAGAGAGCTGCAAATTTCTGCTGGAAAAATTTTTCCCAGCTAAAACTTGCATGTTAGAAAATCAGCTGATCACAAACACATGTTTGTAAATAAACAAAAGAAAATATGGCCTTTTTGAGTTATTTATTCCATTTTTTATTATTAATGCTAGTATACAACGAAAAAGTGAGTAAATTTAATATGCATAACGTTTGTTGTGTTTATTTTTCGCTAATTTGCTATTAATCTCCAGTTTGTTTACTTTACCGCCCTATTCCCACACCACTGACAAAACTCAGCGGCTGACTATTGCTTTTACTACTGCGCCTAATACTATGCCGCAATTTTATTTTAAGCTGTCGTATGACAATTGTCAGTTTTATTGTTATGACCTACTGAGTGAGTGACAATGGCGAAACAATGTTTATATTAGGGGTATTCTCCGAGTCTTGCAAAGCCCTTGCACGGTGCACAGATTGCACGGATTGCACGGAAAAAACCGGGTTTCGTATGGGACAGCTTTGCAAACCGTGCACCTTGCAAGGGCATTGCAAGACTCAGAGAATACCCCTATTGTGTTTTAGGCTCAGTAATTGGGACAATAGTCATATGATGAATTTTGTCAGTGTTGTGGGAATAGGGCGTTAAGTGTGTGCTGACCATGGCTGCCGTATGACATTTTTCGTTTGTACCATAATTTACCTTTAAATATACCAAAATAGATTCAAATGCAGCGTGCTGAAATGTTGTTTTGCTGAAGTTTCGGTTTTGGTAGGTTGATTGTTGAAATGAAAATGTTATAATTTTAAAGCTACATCTGTGCTATATCTATTACATTGTTTTTGGATCAATGATGGGTCTTTGTTTTTGAATGCGTCACCATGTGATATCACAAATAATTATGAGAAAAATAATTTATTAATTCCGATATAATTAATTTGTATTTTAAAACGGTTTTTCTTATCGAAAACTATTCAGTTGTATAAAATGCCAAATCGGGGGAAAATGTACCAAACAGAAAATAAATTACCAAATTAATCACCAGTGGCAACTGTGCAAGTGATCAGCTGTTTCGAAAGTTGCAAGTTTTTGCAAATTTTGCGTTCTCGTATTTCTGTTGATATTTCGTCTCTTTGAGAGCGAATGCTGCTAAATTCTAAGAACTTTTGCTGCTAGAGAATTTTGTCCTCTCAATACGAGTACACACCTATTATATTAAATAGAATAGGATTTTAAATTATTCACTTCATTTGAGACTTATTACATGCCATGTTCGTGCAAAAACAGCCCCAAGCTCAATAAAATTGTTGAATGTAATTATTACTTACTTTCAAAATCCGTACCTGCATAAGCATCACACCACTTTTACTTTACTTTTGGAAGTTTTTACTTCCGAGAATTTTGTGATGAAAAGATGTAACGAGAGCCAAGTCCCGACTATCAATCGATAGTTAAAAAAAAGTGTAACCATCGATAGTGTGCATAGTGCTATCGATAGTTTGACAGCCCTATTGTTTTTGTGTCACCCAATACTTGATGTGACAAATTGATTTCCATGAGCTTACGACTTATTTCTTCGAGATTCGGATTGGACCCTTTAGCAGGGATCAGGAAAACTCAAAAATTTTCTAACCCCTCATATAGGAAACTCTTTTTATCTGATCCAATTTGGTCTTTTAGTGCACGTACCGCGCGTTGTCTTCGACCTAAGTACGAAATGGATACAGTGTATCTCCGTCGTAGTGGTGACAGCCAGGAGCTTCACATCAACTTTCGATATACCAATCAAGAATTGCGAGTGGATAGAGATTTTAACTTTTGTCGTAAAATAAACGAAAACATAGAGGACGCGTTGATCCGCATACGAAATAATTTAGAAAAAGTACTGAATAAAGGAGCCAAAAAGGGCAAGAAAAAATCGCTGTCGGATTTAAAGGACCTATCGGGTTATAGCTTAGATGAGGTACGTCGACATAATTTTAATCAAGTTTATTTCATTTAAATTGTATTTAGATTCCTGTAGAAATACTGCGATGCGACCTCAATAAAAGAGTAGAAAACATGACTTTTGCAAAGCTCTTGGATGAAAAATTGAGCGACTTAAAACTTCGCATAATAGATAAACATTTTCAGATAGTATATAACATGCCGTGGGTAGTAAATTTAACCTTACCTATAAATATAATGGCAGGCTTCAGAGTCTATCCGAGCAAAGTTGAATTGCAGTTTTCTGACCGAAAGTATAGCATTGGAAAATGGTATAAAGCAAAAAAGGTAATTGGTTTTTTTTTTTATTTTCTCATCTTGATTGAATAAATGATTTTTCTCGAATGTAGCCAACAAGTGGAGACCTCGAGAGAGGAGCTGATTGGAAGCATTGCGGCGATGGCTTTCACTATGATAGCACCAATAACGATATAGGACACTTTTTAAAATTTAAGCTAACACCGGGAAATGAAGTAGGTGAACTTGGTCCGACTGTTGAGCAAATCACTAAATATGAAATACAAGCTGGTCCTGGAAAGTGCCCCTTTGAAACAAGGCACTGTTTCACCAAATCCAAACTGAGCGACGATTCTTTTCGAATTGTGTCGTACAACATTCTCGCTGATTTATATGCGGACAGTGACTACACTCGTACGCATCTTTTCCCTTACTGTCCACCATATGCATTGAAAATTGAATACCGCAAGCAATTAGTTTTAAAAGAAATAATTGGTTACAATGCGGACATAATTTGTTTACAGGAGGTTGATTTGAAAATATTCGATTTGGATCTGACACCTATTTTGGGTTCTGACGAACTAGATTATGATGGCATGATCGCTCAAAAAGGAACTTGTGGAGAGGGTGTTGCGACGTTTTATCGAAAGTCTCGATTCGATTTACATAGTAAATATGAGATTAATATTGGAGAAGCGATACGCAATATCCCGCAGTTTCAAATATTGTATGGTAAGATCAAAGACAATGAGAAGCTCATGGATCGTATTTGTGATAGATCCACAACCCTCCTGGTACGTACATATGTGTGCTAAACAATGACATTTTTTTTTTCTTGATTAATAACGTTATATTATTTTTCTTAAAGATTACTGTGTTGAAATGTAAAGCTAATGGGCGCTATTTGCTAGTGGCAAATACTCACCTATATTTTCATCCGGATGCGGATCACATACGACTTTTACAAATGGGTTTTGCAATGACTTACATCAGCCACGTATATGAGGACCTCGCAACGAAACTTAATTTGTCTAACAAGAATGAGTTATCATTGATCTTTTGTGGCGATTTCAATAGCGTCCCGGAATGTGGGATTTATAAATTAATGATAGAAGGGACTGTAGGAAGAGATTGTGCAGACTGGTCAAGCAGTAAGATAATAAAATGTTAAATTTCAAATTGATCCATTACGTTTCCATTTCAGATACTGAAGAAGCGGTTCAAAATGTAACCCTTTCGCAACCATTTAATATGAAATCCGCTTGTGGGACGCCTTCATATACAAACTATACACACGCATTTGCAGCGTGCCTAGATTATATATTTTACCAAAGTAACTGCCTGGAAGTTGAGCAGGTGATTTTTATATATTTTTTACTACGAATTAATTAAAGAATATTATTCCTACAGGTGGTTCCCCTGCCTACAGAAGATGAGTTACAATGTCATACAGCAATACCGTCGGTTGTTTTTCCCTCAGACCATGTGGCGTTGGTCGCTGATATAAAGTTTAAGACCATTTAGTAAATTTTAAAGTCTAACAAATAACGCCAGTAAACGCTTTCTAGAAAGTTGTTGCCTATAAACAGAGTATCCGAAGTTTAATTTTTTCATTATGTATGATAAAAGCAAATAACTAATGAATTTTAAATTTGGCTGAGGAAGTGTTAAAAATCGTTGAATGTATCTGCAAATATACTTTTCCGCTGCCTCAATTGTAAATAATAAAACAATGTTGTGAGCAATACGATAATTAATTTTAATTAAAACTTTAACTTAGGGTCCCGTTAGACACTGCAAATAAATTGCTTCATCATTTATGTGTGGTCAAACATCTTAACTTTGCAAGACCAGTAAATGGCCATTATTCAAAAGAAAAAATGCATTATTTTAAAGGCAGGATAGAAGAACGCACGATACAGCCAAAATTTCTTGCATACAAAAATATTTGTAATTAAATGAGTGCAGAAGAAATTTATTAAACGTATTCTTCATATTTTTAACAATATTTGATTATCACACTTAATAAATATACACGTTTCTTTTCGAAATTATCCGCAAACGTCTTTTAACCACTTTTGGGTGATCTACCGTGTTCATTTTTTTTTTAATTGCGAAAGAGTGTGAAAAGTATTATGCTTCCATGTCTAACGGCATCATTAGAGTGGTTACATCTGCAACTTCCGTAATTTAAACTAATTGTACTAGGCCGTTCCAATTTATTTCCTGTACCACATTTGCAATGTCTTCATCCGCTTAACTTTTTTCTGCAGCTGCAGTACACCGTACATAAGCGCTTCAGCCGTTGGTGGACATCCCGGTACATAAATATCTACTGGTATAATACGGTCACATCCGCGAACCACGGAATATGAATAATGATAATATCCACCACCGTTGGCACAGCTTCCCATGGAAATAACCCAACGCGGCTCAGGCATCTGGTCATATACCTTACGGAGAGCTGGGGCCATTTTATTAGTAAGTGTGCCAGCAACGATTATAACATCCGCCTGACGAGGGGATGCCCGAAACACAACACCGTAACGATCCATGTCATATCGCGGTGCAGCTATGTGCATCATTTCCACAGCACAACAAGCCAATCCGAAAGTCAGGGGCCATATGGAACCTTTACGACCCCAATTCAAGAGATCATCTAAACGCGCAATTGACCATTCCACCATGTTGGGCTGGTTTTTGCCAAACGGTGAGGGACTTCTCTTTGGAAGTGGGTTATTTGGATCTGCCACCGGCATGGTTTGTTGCTGCCGCAAGGCCAATGTATTCAGTGCTGGCCCGAAAGCTCCATATAAAACACTCGGGGATCCAGAAGTGCGGACCAGCACTTTGGGTGTTTTGTTTACCAATGAAGCTACGGAGCGAAGCATTGTTTTTTATTTCCGAGTCCTGCATAAGATAAAAAATATTTATGACGCAACTTTAATTCGTACAAGTGTTTGTAGTTGTGAAAATTAAGCATAAATTTAATGAAAAATGCAAAAAAACCTTTTTATATAACCCGACTTTTCGCCTAAAATTTAATGGAAAACAAACGTCAAATATCACAGTAATTTCAATAAAGTATCGATATTGATGAATATAACTCATTTATCGATACATCTATGAAGACCAATAGGCGAAATAGACGATAGTAAAACTCCGTCGTCTATGAGGCGCGAAACTGCCTAATTTACGACACCCAAATTTACAGGAGAGCAAGGCGTATCAATTACAGGATAGCGAAAGAAGCCATGCTTTTTATTATGAGGACGGTTATGTCAAATTATCGCATATTCTGCTTTGTTTACAAACCCGCGTCTACATCCACAAATTTCTATACGATTTCTTATAGAAAATTAAAAAAAATTGTGGAACCATTCAGAAAGTCAAGAATACTCTAAAATCATGGTATGCAGGGTGCGAATATGAATACCTAATACGATGTTTCCACGTATGGCGAATTACGTAATTCGGAAGGTAATTAGCAAGGCGAATGACGAATAAGAGAGCGAATTACGAAGCGTGGAAATGCCGTATAGAGAAACTGTTTTGCACACAACCAGTTCATACCAACGCAAGAATGATAGAATACAAGATTGCGCCGTCTTGGCCGTTGACATTTGTGTACCACAAGTAAACAAAGAATAGAGCGAAAGGAAGAACGAGTTGAAACTCCCAAACCAGTTCACGATGCAGCGAAAAACGTGTTTTAACTTTGCTAAATGCAAAAATATTGCATTTTCACATAATCTATTAGAGAATAGTGAACGTTACTGCTGTATTGTGAATCGCTTCATTGAACACCACACTTTCTAAAAAAACAGCTGATTTCGAAAAACTGCCACTGCCACTGCCACTGAGTTATTGCATTTTGGGCTTAAGTAAAAAATTACACTAGCAAATTATATGCAGATATCCATACTGTCATTAGTATGAGTTACAACAAACACATTATTTTGACGTAATGCCCTCCGCGGCGAAAAACTCAGCTGTCGCCCCAACACCACCTTGTTAAATACGCCTTGATTTCATCTATCTGCCATTTTACAAAATTTTGTGTTGGAATAACGATTTGACGTATGAAACCAAGGCGAATTTATATAAGGTGGTGTTACTAGCTCAGCTGATTTTGTGTATGTGTTTCGCCGCACGGCTTCTGATATCAAATTGAAAAATTTTGTTTGAATTTCTACACACACATGTAAATTTTTGTTTTTGTACTTCTGCTATCACCTTATATTAATTCGCCTTGTGTGAAACTGCCTGGAGTTCAGGGTTACCAAATTTCATTTTTGCCACAATGACGATTTAGGCGGTTTTGGAAACAAACATGGAAATTTTTATTTCTGATTATATCTGATGTTTAAATTAAACCAACACTCGTGCGAAAGCTCTATTTATGTGAGTTGCTGAAATTGTTTAAACTTATATATTTTGCAACTTGCAAGTAGCGTACGCTTTTTTGTGCTTTTTTCAGCTCCCATTTTGATTTTCAATATTTATTACCGCCAAAGCAATTCAATTATGACTGGTGGGACATTTTACTCCAGAATGTGATCAATTGTGAATTATAACTATGCCGTCGGAGCTTAAACAACAGCGAAAGATATATTTTAACATAGAACGATAACTAATGTATAAAATTTAATATCAAACGATTTCTTAGTTTTATGTAACTATCATTTGAATGAATGAAACTGGTGGGACATTGAAAAGAACTCTATTTTACCCTTGTGCATTCAAACATGAATTTTTTCCAAATTACTTAATCTTCACGAACGATGTTTTTGTGTTGCAAAATATGAATTATCCGCTTTCGTTTCCATAGACAAAAATTACAACTTCTTTTTATTTTTTAATAGTTTACAACCGATTACTGAAATCTAGTAATTTATTTATTTTTCACTTTTTATTTTATCCATGCATATGGATTCATTTATTAGTACTACTAGTTTAGTGGGCATCAGTAATACTTTCTTTTTTTTTAAATTTATTCCTTACATAATACGAAAGGATATAAATTTAAAAACTTCTCGCAAATTTTAACAATAACACTTAAATTTGAATATGACGCTTTTATTTAATCTCCTTTCATTTAAAGCCGAATTATGCCTTCGCTTTATCCAAACCTCCACTTAGAACATTTACTATTTTCAAGGGTTTGCAACCCTATTGCAGTCGGCTTCACGTTTCCTCTTCCGTTCGTTTTTTCACACGTAAATTTAGGTTATTTTGAAAAATAAAAAATACATATATAAAAATAATTCTCTGTTAATTTGCGAAATTTTTCTTTGAGAAATGCAAAATCAAGCTGAATCGTTTGTGCTTCCAATAGGGAGCTCAACGGAAATGTCTTCATTCGTTACTAGGCAAGACATCTTGAATTTTCCCTTTCCGTACAAATTGTGGTTAGTTGTCCATTTGGATTTCTACGATTTTCTACGTTGGAATCGGGACGGAACTGTAATATTGCTTGATTTAGTAGCACTTGAGGACTATTTGAACTCGACGCATTCCATATTCAAAATAAAGAACCGCTCCATATTCTTGGAACATCTTGAGCAGTTCAAATTTGATCGATTGAACGCCACACCGGAAGCGGAAGAGGACTTACTATTGCAGTATAAGAACGAAAACTTCCAACGACATCGTCTGGACTTATTGGCGAAAATTCGTCGTCATACCTATCAGCTTTTGGGTGAAATTGATAAGGCAGAGAAAAATGTTAGGACAGATACAACCGTTCAATTACAGCGCTTAGCCGAGGAACTGAAGTACCGCCAGGTGGCCGATAGAATGTTGGGTGATCTGTGTTTTATGTCACACGGCGGTTTATCAAACATTCAGAAAAGTCGGCTACGTTTCCAAACAATTTTGTGTTTCCAAAATGAAACACGCATTTTGGAAGAGAAGTTACAAGCCTCTGACGAATGCGCAGCTATTCAAGCTCAACAACGCCGCCTTAAATCAGATGGGCTAGGTCGTGCGGGCGTTGCGTCAGCGGAAGAAGAGCAAGTTATTGAATTACCGGTCGACTTATTTGAGAATCCCCATGACTCGGTGTTGCATTTAGGAGAAGATTTTCGGCCTGAATATGCTGGCTATTATGGAAATTGCGGTAAAGAACAGGTCTTACATTTCTTTGGAGATTACTTGCCGATGTACGAAGATGGCTCAATGGAAGTGAAAAAAATCGTAGCTGAAATATGGTACGAAATTTTTTTTTTTTCAATATCAGTTTTAAATAATTTCATATTTTTAGTCCTAATCAACAAAATAATTCCTCAAATGAACTATTGGATGGTATGGCTCAACCTGGGGAGACAGATTATGGGTTGGCAATACCACAGACCCCATCTCTTTCGCAACAATCTCTAACTTCTTTGAATCTGTCCTCCACTTTGGAGCCAATTTTTAATAACGATGATGAAGATGATGTAAATGATAACCTACCTAATAGCGAGAATAATCCGAATATTTGTAGCATGCGAGAGACTGAAACTGAAATTTCAATGGAAGAGTTCATAAAATTCAAATCAAACATCAAAGAAGACCTCAAAACTAATTATACCGAAACAGAAAGGGATTTTCCGCAGATGCCAGCAGCTGTAAAAATGGAAATTGCTGATGAATCAGACTCTGCGAATGAAGCTAATTTCCGAAACTTTTTT